GAAACTGTGCAAGCCCAATTGAATCTTTGTAGCCAAGACACTTCAGCTCCAAGAAGGAGCTTGATATTCCTCTCCTGTTTTAATTACAAGTCCATTACTTACTTTGGCCAAAATGAGCTGATTTTTCTTTTTTCTTTTCTGATTTTTCTTCCTTGAAATAATTAGTCTTACATGGTGTCACCATGAAACTTCAGACGTAGGTTTTTTTGTTCTAATTTGTTCAGTTTCTTTTACTTTTCTTTTTATTCAGGCAAATATAAAAACATAACAACACTGGAGTAACAGTTGTGTGAGGTTAAAGTTATTACATATTTACAGGAAAATAAATAATAGACAAGAATTCTTACCACTTAGCTTTCCCATATGTAAATATAGCATTCATTAACATTCAAACAGTCTGGCCAGATGCACACTGGTTTACTGGCTGGTGTTATTATGTATGGATACTATAATAATAAACTATTAATATAGTAATAGTATAATGTCTAAAGTTATATAGCATGTGTGTACACACATTAAAAGCTACAATTGCCTTTACATTTGTTTAATATAAGAAAATAAGTAAAGTGTATGTCTGGTCTAGTTAATATAACTGCAGTACTGTTTTGATCTCTGTGTATTGTTTTATACATTCTTGCCTGAAAATTTAACTTTATTTACAAAAGCCTCTGCTTACCTTCCTCCCCTTCCCCCTACAACTTTCCCATCCCAGTTTTCCCTCTCACTTGGATCCACAAATAATCCTTACATTTTGCACCCTTTACCTTTTGCTAAAATGTGAAGCATTCACCCCATCCTTCAGGTGGGATGGAATATTTAACCCCTCAATACCTGGAAGATTTGACTCCCAAACTATAAAGAAATCATGGCACTGTATCATAGGTACTGGTTTCTGGGGAGAGCTGTTTTGCAGAGCCATATCAGACCTCGACCCAGTCTCTTCTCATGTTTATATCTTTTCCCCACCCCTCACCCTTTGCTTTTAAATTGAGGGCATGTCTTTACTTCCCCTTTTTCCTATATTTCAGTCTCCAACACTGTTTTTTAAATTTCTTTCCCCCTCCCCTCATGATATTCCCCCTTCCATATTTTCTTTTAAGCTCCCTCAGACTATTATTCAGTTGTACCCAAATCCTCTTGAATACTCTTGGTTTTGCGAGTTATTCTAGTCTTCTTGTCCTTGTACCTTGCCGTTGTCTTTCTCCTGGGTTTAAGAATTTGCCATTCAGTATAGTGGCGTTGTCTCACTGTTTGTGTGTCATTCTCTTGCATTTTATACCCTTTCAGAGAAGGATCAGAAGTCTCTCTAACCTTCTGCAGAAACTGCTGCTTTTGTTCAAAGCGGCAAATGTAGTATCGTATCTCTTGGTTTGTTTGAATTGGGGAGAGCGTAGAGCAGCGGTCCTCACCTTTTTAGGCTTGAGGCACCCCTTGGATAATGTAAGTTCTTAGTTTTCACTTTTTTTCTCCTATGGAAGAATAATAGAGCACTTATTCTGTTCCAGAAGAACCCTGGAAGAACACAACTACATGTGGATTTCTATTTGAAGTCTCTGTTTATCTTTTGAATCATATTTGTAAACCTAACAGTGCTGCTAGCTAGCATTGTGTGGCACTGCATTGCACAGTTGAGAATCGGAAGGCCCCCAGGGTGCTGTGGCTCCTGGTTGAGAATCACAGGTGTAGGGAGCTTGGTACACTCTGTCTGTCTACAGGGACTGTTTTGTTCAGCTGCAGGAAGGAGTGGGATACCTGCTCTAAATATTCTGCTCAATGGGGAAGTCTTCTTATTCTACTGTTGTTGCTTCTCTTGATATTTTCTATAACCTAATTTTTCTTTGCAAGCTCCTTTTCTTCATTTTACTTTGCAGATTTATTGCTGATGTATCTTCAGGTCTGTGATCCTGCCCCCAGTTTCTTTTATCTCTGCCTTGTTTTTTTTATCAAACTGGGCCTGTCTATAAAGGATTTTAGAGCTTTGATTTCTGAGATGAGCTTGCCAAAGTTCTCTCTGGTCAAAGGGGCTTGTTTTGTTGGTCTCCTCTGCGCTGCCTCTTCTGTTTTCCTCATGCAGCAGTAGCAACCTCTGATTCTGCAGACCCTGTGAGCTGTTTTGAATGAAGATCTTCCAGCGAGTTTCTTCTGGGGAGTTAGGTTTTCAGATTGATCCCCTTATGGTGGGGTACATGTCATACAAACAGAGGAACTGGGGTTTTTTGGCGGGGGGGGATGGGGATCAGTGCTGTTTGTGGATTTTGCCATCTCTGCCATGGCGGTCTAGCTTCAGGCAGCCATCTGCTCCAGACGTGTAATACGATCCCCACAGGCATCTCGTTTTAATTGAGGACTGCTTTAATTTCGGAGCATTGGGTGCACCAGCTGTATAATTTAAACTTGGTGATAAAGATAATTTTTAAGCAATTGATGCCTCTTCTTACTATTCTAAAAATGTTTTGGTGATTGTCTGAAACCATTTTCTTGGAAAATATTTTTACACCAATTCTGATAGTGAGGTAGTTTAAAGGACTGTCCTTGCTTTGATGCTCTGAGGCTTTGGACAAATAACTTTTCTCTAATTTAGGGAGCAGATGTGTATATGAATTACTTATAAAGGGGTTTTAAAAGAAGTCATAATTGCAGATGGACATGAGGAACCCTAATTTCCTATTATAGGGTTGGTGGGGTGGGTGTGTTTCCAATTTTTTTTTTTTTTTTTAAGTAAAATGAAAATAACAAATCCACGGATAAGAGCTGTATTGAGCCCTGCATGTCATTGGCTATGTCAAAATTAGGGCTGGGTAGTGTGTTTTGACAATTTTTCCTGTTGAATAGCAGGATTAAAAAGGACTGGGGGAGCGCGAGAGGGGTTGTTGCTTGCTTGTTTTTGAGTGAGAGCTTTTAGTTTCGTGCATATTATCTGCTGGGGCAGTCAGCTGCTCACTGCCATGACCAGCAGCTACTTGCTTTTTTACAGTTTGGGGGTGTCTTTTATTTCAACCATCCTGCTCCTGAGAAGCCTTTTCTGTTGACAGTTTAATTGCAACTTCTGATATTTTCCTGTGGGGAAAACAAGTCCACAGTTCTGGAACAACAAAAACAAACCTTTCATTTGAAAAATTCCTGTTCAACTTTTAGTTAGACTTCTTGTAACTGAAACACAGTCCTCTGCCTCTTCCCAAGTGCAGTACCTGGTAGTGGTAACAGAAAGAGAATGAAATTTAAGGGGTGGGGGGGAGTCTTGGGTTTTTTTCCCAGTAGATTTTACAGGTGTTGGTTATAAACATCAAGCTAATGTTAAATCTATTTTTTCTTGGTCCTATTCCAGGTTGTGCGTGGGAGTACTTTTTAGTGGTTACAGACTTTTCAGCATTTGTTTCCATCCTGCTCTTTTCTTTCCCTGTTTCCCTCGATTCCTGTCATGCCTCTGCACTCGACTTCATTTCAGTCTTTTTCCATACTCGGAGCGCACGGGGAACATTGGCAGCACAGGAGAGGCGGTTTCTCTCCTCCATTTCCTGTGCTTGAAGCACCAATGGCTTCGGGTAGCCAGAAGGAGCAATTGCAAGAAAAATCCTGCTCTGCCCCCTGCAGGACTGAAATTATGCGTGCTCAGTTTAGACAAAGTCTTTGCAATGTATAGCTGCCAAACTCTAGCCTCTACTGAGCATATCCAAATAGTAGTTCCTTGTAGATTTTTGGTTCCTGTTCCATAGTGTAGAGGCACTAGAACTTCTCAGTAACACACTGGAAAATGTGTTCACGTTTTCAGAAATGACATTCTTTTCCTTTAATTAACTTTTTCTAAAATGGCATGAAATACTTCATACTAACATTTTAAGGAGATCAATAGGAAACAGATGCCTGTATTGAAAATTCCATCATAAACAGCTAAGCTTGACTTAGTTTTATGCTCCAGAAATAGGTTTCAATAATGGAAAATGTTAGGAAAATTAACTATAGTCTTTACTGTGCACTCTGTTCTGTTACATGGCAGTTCTTTTAATTGTCCACTGACTTGCCCTGTTAGGACACTAGATGGGCCACTAAACTGCTGTAGCAATTCCTGTTACTTCTTTGTCGAAAATGGGACAATCTCACTAGTCTTCAAGGTAGATAATAAGTTAATGCTTGTTAAAGTACCCTAAATAATAAAGTTGATAAACTGACATACTGACCACATTGAAGGTCAGAAAAAGGTGGTGAAAAGAACCAGTATCACTCTCAGCCCCTCTTTATGGAGGTACTCAAAAAAAGTTAAGGTGAATCAGAGGTGTAAAGTTGATAAACACTACATTTAAAGTGCATTAAACCAGTGTGAAATCACATTTGTACTTTTGTCTTGGCTTTCTCAGGGCTCTATGTGCTCAACACTGTTTACTGCCCCCTAGTCCAGAGAAGATATTGAGCCTTTTTCTTAAGTTATTCTCTTCTAATGTGACCTAGACCTGAGGTATCAAACTCATCTGGCTGTGTGGGCTGGATTGGGCTCAAAGATTGGCACTGCATGCTGGAGTCGATACATGTTCCAGGCTGCTTCCCCATGCCTGGAGCTGGTGTGTGAGCCCAATCCACACTGGCCGCGTCTCAAGCGTGTGCATGCCATATGCAGTACATGGGCCCAGTCCAAGACCCATAGGCAGCACTGCGTTCCATGGGCTGCGTTCAGCCTGTGGGTCGTATCATTGACACCCCTGACCTAGACTAATGGCATATATTCAACACTTACCATTTGTTCTTTGAAAAATGCTTTAAATAGGTACTATTTATCTGTACACATTTTTATTATTACGAAGGGGCTGCAGGAGCCTGAGGAGAATGATGGGGGGGGGGGGGGGGGGGGGTAGTAGATATGCAGATTTGTATTAAAAAGGAGAAAAAAACTTCTGATTAAAGGATGATATATAGGGTGTTACACAAACATTTTGAACCTTATTTTTTAGGTTCTGTTTTCTTTAAAAAATTAGGATTAATATCTGTCTGTATATGTTTGTTTTTTATAGGAATTGTCTAGAGCAAAAGGAAGAAAAGCAAGTAAGCTTGCATATTACGGACTGGTTTCTGAACATATTTCTAATACAGTGGGGTTACAGAAGATGATAAAGAAATGATAGCAGCTCCAGAAATACCAACTGATTTTACTCTCCTTCAGTAAGTAATTTAAATTACAGTATTTACATTTTAAAGAGACATGCACATTTTTGTAATGGTAATTACAGTGTGTATAGTTGCTTTTATAATTGTTAAAAATAGCACATTTTGTGCAATGATAGCAAGGTTATTCTATCAAAGAACTATGGCAATGTAAAATGTGAAGTGTTTCTTGAATAATGTCTTCAGTATCCAAGGTAATTTAAAATAGCTCTTTTACAAGTGACTTTTTTTAACCCTAGAATAGATTTTTAGAATCTTTTTAGTAGAACTTTTTTCCTAGGAAAAGCCATATAGCTATGATCCTGAAATGGTTTCCCTTAGAACAATATATCTTTCCGACAATATATCTTATAACTTGCCCTTTGAATTAAAAGCGTTTTGGTTAGGAATACTTTTAACGTCAAATTTTATTCCTTCTGTTTGGGGAATTGGGGGCTTGGTCCTAACAAGCAGACAGAGTTACTTAATCCTTGTGCCAAGTGCTGATAAAGTCTTAAGATGGGAGAAATTCAGTTATAATGTGTGCATAATAATTCTGCTAGTCATATATTATTTTGAGAAACAGACAAAATGTGATTTTATTTTATTTTATTTTTTTTAAGAAAGGCATGAATAGATGGACATGGGGGAGGCAGGGTGAAAATGTACTTCTACATTGATCAACCCTTTAAAGACTTCTTCAAAATAAAATACATGAATCCATTTGTCTAGTTCACTTATTTAAAAAAAAAAAAATAGCCATGACTTCAGGTAAATACACCTGAGTTTTGAAACTGCTTGTAAATACTCCTATATAAATGATTTTTTTTTCAGATTTGTTGAAAACATTATACAAAGTAGGGATTGGGAAAACTTGAACACAAGTATAGTTGGTAATGCTTAAGATTTTCTTTAAGTAGAGCCAAATGGTAATCTGTACAGCTGGCTTTGGACTTGCATGCTTTTGCCAGTACTGCAGCTAAGGGACCATGAGCCCCCCACACTAAGGAGGGGTGTATGCAACAATAGCTGTTGCTGGCAACCCGAAGGTGAGTCTTTTAGTCTGAGAAGCCCCACGGGCTAGATGACCTGCTTGCTTGTGTTGGATATGACAGGCACAATAGTTGACACCCCTGATTTTAGGCATGTGTGAAAGGATCAGTAAGATTATCAAGTACTAAGGAAATTTAACAGTTGTGGGGGAAGGGGGGTTTAGGCTTTATTTAAAGGGAACAATTGACATATTTAACTTCATTTGGTTTTAAACTGGTATGAATGTGTTTAGACAGTCTTTATTTCAGTTTAAGCATGACATGTTTCAATTTAACAAACTAATTCCTAATTAAAGGTGACCTGAAATAAACACTGGTTAAACCAGTTAAAATGACAGAGGCCAACTTTTTGGTTGATATGCCACAGATTAAGCCCCACAGCTGCCTTGAGGGTCACTCTGAGCCCCTTTTTCTGCCGGGTCTGTTCTGCATTCCGGTCCTTTTCTAGACTGCTGCTCTGCTGCCTGCCTTCTCGTTCATCTGCTGCATGCCACTTGTGGAATGTGTGCCACAGGTTGGGCACCTCTGAGGCCACAGCCTTTTATGTTGGTTTAAATCCCTTCACGCTAAACTTTATAATTTATGATGTTTTCAGATGCATAGAATTTGCATTGTGCTAACACATGAAATACCTGACATGCTTTGGAAAGAAAAATAGTTTAGAGTTAATCAGCACAGGCTCTTTTAGGCTGCTTACAGACATTCAAAAACTCCAAGCCTGAATTGATTCAATCTTTGCAGGTTAGTCTAATCTGCGTCGATTGAACCAGTAAGCAAGTGAATAGACACTCACTTTTGATTCTGGAAATGCAGCCACATGCCTGCAGTGGCTCACGCTAGAAGCCTGGAGGGTGTTAGACTGAGTCCTCCCTTCCCTTCAGACTGGAGGGAAGCTGAACTGAGTGGAGTGGGGGACATGACCAGGCCCTGGTAGGCTGAGTATGACTGGTAAAGAGTTTAAACTGCCACCTTGGCCTGCAGGGATCCCAGCCTGGCTTCCCCCCTGCTTGTGGCTCAGCATGGCCCAGAACCCCCAGAGCCTCCCTCCCAGCCAAGATGCAATTCCTCCGCACCTTCCCAGCTGCTGGGGCTAAGGTTTCACTTGGGAAGAGTGATGCCTGGGCTGGCCCTGGCCCCAGCCCCCACAGTGGAACACAGGGCAGGCTCACTTCCTCAGCCCCAAGCGCCATTACCTGTATCTTCTGGGCTGCCAGGTGCACACTGCTGACTCTTCCCCTACCCAGCATAAGTGGAGCAGTACGGCCCCTTGTACTAGGCACAGGGCTCTAAGTGCCCTTACAGCTTCCCTGCCACCACTGTCAGGGGGGCCTGCCTTGGCCATACTGGTAGGTGCCACCTGTCCCACCAAACTGTGGTCGTCTGTTGGGGCAGGTGGTGGGGAAGCCATGGGTAGCGCCTCCCAACCTGGCGCATGCTACGTGGGGCTATTCTGCACCTATGGCTTCCCCACCACCCCCGGCTTGCACCTGCAGTCAACTGCAGATCAGTGACATGGGCGGCACCTACCAATACGGCCAGGGCAAGCCCACCTGATGGCAGTGGTAGCAGAGAAGCCATGGGGGTAGAGCCTTGCACCTGGTACACAGAGCAGTGCTGCGTTGCTGCTGTTGGGTAGGGGAAGAGTCGGCAGTGCATGTCCAGCTCATTGGCCCAGGGGATGCAGGTAATAGTGAGTCCGCACCGTGCGTGCTGCTGAGGGGGCTGGGGCTGGCCCAGGCGCCATTCTCAAGTGGGTAGAAAGGGCTACTGGGCAGGAGCTGCTCCCTCAGTTGCATACTTGGGTCAGCTCTGCCCTAGGCTAGTGTCAACACTGGAGCCCCTTCCTGCTGC